AAAAGAGAAATTAGACCCGTTCTCACTTATGTTGGCTTTGCTCTTTTGTAAGGTGAGTCTGGATGAAATTATTAGGATTGTGATGATCTTTTGTGCTTTTATTATACCTCAGCTAGTGTTTAATGATTCAACATGGGGCTTTGGTTACACAAAGATGTTATATTCTCGGAAGAGAGGTTTTACATGCTGTTCAATCTGCCTTTGAGTGAAGAGGATGCCAGAAGGTTTGAAGGCCATTTTCTCGTAATATTTCAATTGATCCATCTCTTCTCTATGTGGTGTAAAGCTAGAACGCTCTAGGGATTGCCTAAGGGCATTTCAATTGAAGTAGATTCTTTTACATTGCCCTGACCAGTCTTTAACAAGATATGAGGAAGGCTTTTTTTTTTCCAAATCTATGCAGCTCTTTTTTAGGGTTGAGGACATGTAGAGCCTTTTTATACTATCCTTCTCAATGGTACTTTTCTTTTTTTGTTGAAAAGAGAAAAAAGGAAAATGTATCTCAAGTAAGATACTTTACCTTTTACCCACAACCTCTTTTAATGCCATGGGTATAGCACAGAAGCTTTAATACTATTTTTGATGGCCACAAACTTTCATATTATTAAAACTAATTATTGGCTAATTGCCCTTCTGAAGAACATGAACCAACCAAATAGCCTTTCTTCGAATATTAATTGCGTTTCTGGTTGAGCAACTGTGCTAAGTTTGTTTCACATAATTTTCAGCTTGTAAGTGAACATTCTCTTTTACTGTTGCAATCAAAGCTGCTTATGATTCCTGAGATGGACTTTTACTTGTCAAATTCAAAATTTCCTTCCATGTTTTGTTTGGTAATGTTAAACTTTGCTGTGTGGTATCATTACTTTCAGTCACCTTCTACTGTCGTTGTTTCAGATAAGCAGAGATTGTCAAGAATTAGAGATCTCTGTTGGTGAGCAGTTGGCTTCTTTGCTCTATGTGGAACCAGACAGTGAACTTATGGTATTTCTTTTTCAGTTTTTCTCCTATCAAACCAGTTTTCATTCAATAGATGGTAATTCATTTGGGATTGTGGACGTGATATATTAGTAGATCTTTTTGGTGATTGTTCTGATGTTATAAGGTTGATCTTTTATGTCCAAAGCTTTCTTCAGGTTTTACTTAATTGTTGGTTAAAAGAAAAATAAAAGAATTTTTATATTGAGTTTGGCTATAAGGAGTCATTTCTTGCTATTCAGTCATCCCTTGGACACAGTTCTGGATCTGTTGTACAGCTAACTAACCTGTTTTATGGATCTGTTGGACAACTACCGAACCTGGTCTTGGAAAAAAAATGAACCTGGTCTTTCCCTTATTTTCAATGTAACTGTCTAACCTGGGTTTTCCTGTTACTCTCACTGTAAATGTTGTTCCTCCAAATGTGGGTTCACAAAAATGATGTCTCAACTAGTACTATAAAACTGGTATACATTGGTAAATTGTTGTATGACACATTTTTCTATAGTTAAGAATCTTTTCTGGCTTGTAATGTAGGCAATAGTTGAAATAGATCCTTACGTGGAGAGGTAATTGCTTATTCTTTTTTTTTTTCATGATAGGTTCTGTACTTGTTTTTTGAGAAAGAAAAAACCCCGCACATAGTCTAGTACTTATTTAGTTTGATTTGATAGTGAGTTCGTTCTACTGCTTTGCTGCTTAAGTGCATTCAAATATGTTGTGTTGAAATTCCAAAATTTGGCTGCAATTGGTCCATTCGCCTTAGTTATGCTCTTTGGTAATTTATGGAGCATCTAGTTGGACTGCTGATGGAGGAAAGCACATGGTGTACACACACATACTGTGTAAATATACATTATGTATGTGTGTTATATGTACATATATATATATATAAATGTTTTCGATGTGTATGTATATGTGTACATTCACTTGACATAGTAGCTATGGGAACTTAAAGAATTGCTTCCTAATGTAGTTGAACTTTCTGTACAGAATTCTAATGGGACAATATATTATTGCATTTCAGGCAGTCTCACTAGCTGCAGAATCCAAGCGAGAGGAGGAAAGAGCAAAGGGAGTAAACCCTGATAATGGGAATGAGAACCCAGATATTGTACCTTTTGAAGACAATGAAGAAGAGGAAGAAGAAGAAAGTGAAGAGGAGGAGGAGGATGAGGGCTTTGGCCAAGCTTTTGGACCAGCTGCTTTGGGCAGAGGAAGGGGTAGGGGAATCGTATGGCCTCCTCTAGTTCCTTTTGGACGTGGAGCCAGACCTTTCCCTGGGATGCGGGGCTTCCCTCCAGGCATGATGAGTGATGGATTTTCTTATGGATCAATGACACCTGATGGTTTTCCTATGCCTGATCCTTATGGAATGGGTGGCCGACCTTTTGGACCATTTGGCCCTCGATTCCCTGGTGATATGATGTTTCACAGCCGTCCTCCAGCTGCTGGTGGATTTGGAATGATGATGGGTCCAGGAAGGCCCCCTTTCATGGGTGGAATGGGTCCTGGAGCACCTGGCCCACCCAGAGGTGGTCGACCAATGGGAATACATCCATCATTTATTCCACCCACACCACCGCCCTCTCAAAATCCTCGGGTCAAAAAGGATCAGAGAGCTCCTTTTAATGAAAGGAACGATAGATTCAGTTCAGGTCCAGACCAAGGTAGGGGTCAAGAGATTGCAGGCTCAGTTGGTGGACCAGCTGAAGGAGTACATTATCCACAAACTGAAAACAGCTTTAGAAATGATGAAAGCGAGAGCGAGGATGAAGCACCTAGAAGGTCCAGACATGGTGATGGAAAGAAAAAGAAGAATAGCATGGATGGAGATGCAACAACTGGCACAGAAAAGTAAATCCTATGAGAAACTCTGAAGATGCAATCTTGCCTCTGCAAATGCAAATGCAAATGCCTGACATATCTCCATACAGGGAGAACACATTATGACTAGTTCTTGTAGTGGAGACCTAGCAAGTAGTGTCATCAGATTGTATACTATCTCATTCCGGCCTTCACTATTTTGCTTGCTTACATTTTCCCCAACTGATAAAAGTAGCAAACTTGAGTTTATGTCACTAGTGTACAACAAATATCGTCTTTATTTTTCAAACTTATTTGCTTCCATCTAATTGTAAAAACTGATTTACAGTTACAGGTTAGTTAGATTAGGTTACAACTGAGCTGGGCTTTATTATTTTGGCAAGGTCCTGCCTTCTGTTAGTCAAGCTGAAACATGAAATGTTGATTGATTTATTGATCACTTTTTAACTACCACCTATTATGGTTGCTGAGCAAACCTTGTTTTCTAATATTCCAGCAGCACCTTTGGATCTTGTATGGTCAAACCTCTCTGTAATAACGCTGTTTGTTTTAGAGAACATAACAAGGAACACAATTCAAAAAGAAGAAAAACTCGATGAAATATTGTCATAACATTACTCTTATAGAAATTTCTGACTGTATTTGTTTCTGTAACATTGACATCTAAAGGCTTCTTAATCACAGGCCACGAGTTTCTTCCTGTTAGTGCATGTATTTAGATGAAAATACCCTTTAAAAATAAATAATTTGTGTACTAACATTTTCATCATTAGTTATTGCATAATAATCTCTCTCACATCATTAATTGTTTGCAAAAAGTCTCATTTTATATAATGATCGATTTAGCTTGATCGCATCATTATCTTATATTTTTTCTCATTTTATTTTATTATTTAATAATCCTTTTTAATTCTTTACACTATTTTCATACGAGATTTTGTAACATGAAAGACAGTACAATTTATCCAAACATAATCATATATTACTATAAGCATGAACAAAAAAAGTTGAAAGTTGAATTACGGTTTTACCCCTTCTATTAATTAAATTGTTATAAAATATTTAAATATTTGATTGTATAAGTTTAATTAAAATGTTAAATGACTTTTAGACTTCCTAAGATTAATTCCTAATTAAATATCTAATTTATTAATATTTATCATCTATAATCTATATGTATATAATAATTATAATTTTTTTTAAAAAGTCTATACCTAAATTGCTATACTTTTCCTCTTCTCATAACTTTTTCCTTTAATATAATTTATGTGGATAAAGTATTATCCTTTATGATAACTAACGAAATTTAATAATTTGAAGGGTGCAAATCTGCAAAATGGAGACGCACACATTGATAATGTCCTCTTGATTATTATTAAAGAATGACTCTAGCTTCACAAATTTAAATTCATTGATGCTTAATTACGTGATAAGAACTTTAGTTGTTTTTTCTACATAGTTTGCTAACTTTAATTTTCTTTTTCATATTCTTCATTTATTTACTATTATTTTCTAATTACTTATTCAACTTTTATACTCTTAATATTCATAACTCTCATCTTTTCATATTCATAACCTCTAAATATTTAAACTAGCACTTTAAGATATCTTTTGATATTCCTTCTATTCTATCTATATAAATTCAACTTCTTTATCTCATGAAATCCCTACCAAGATTATTAGGCTATTATTATTTTTATTCTATAGTTAAAGTAGATGAAGAAGACTCTTGAATTTTGATAGGATATGGAAGGAATCGATAAGAACTCGGAGAGTTATGTACTAATTTTGTACTTATTTTTTCATCTATATATGTATCAGTCTTATAAGAATAATGTCTACCTTGTATTTTTTCTTAAATCTGTTTCTTTTTGTCTTTTTTTTCCCCTCTATTAGACTTCTTAATTTAGTTTTCTATGAATGTTTTATTGTCGTAACTCTTCATACTTATTTTGTAATTGTTGCATTTTATTGTTCATTACAATTTACATATATATATTTTCATGAAATTTTAGTCATTCTAACGTATCTATAAAAATTCACATGAAACACACGTGCGAAACACGTGCGAAACACGTGCTCAGAAACTAGTATAAAATAAACACAACATGATTTATTACAATACGATACTAATATTACGTAAACGAGTACAAAACCAAAGCCAAGGGTATGATGGTCATCTCAGAGAACAGAAAAAAATAGAGTGAGAGTGAGGTGTTGGGATAACTTAAAAGAGGCGACAATGGCGTAAGGGGCTTTTGAGAGCTCTCTTAAAACTCTTGAAATGCTTATTGGCTTGGCGGCAACTCTCATTAGAGCTCCTCCTGTTACACTCTACACTTTCATCTCAAGATTTTCGCCTAACAGTCATGGTTTTCTTACTATTACTCCTACTAGGCTCTTCATAACTGCAGGTTCGCTTCAATTTTCCTTTTTTTTCTGAATTTTTGTTGACCAGGCAAAATGGTGAATCAAATTTTGATACAAAAGCTACCTGTTTCTGGCGGAAGGTGGCTGCTATCCAGTGAAATTAGTCGAGCTGCTCGAAAGCTGGCAGGACACTTCGGTCATAAACAAAATTAATTTTGATACAAAAGTTGGGTATTTGGGGGAGCACATTTTTTATGAAGATACTTTTCAATTTTTTTTAAAACTAGAGGGTGATTCCATTTTTTGAGCTCTTTACACAGCTTTGTAAGTTTTTTTTTTTTGACCTTTGAACAATAAAAAAAATTAGACCTTGTGGTATTCCATAGAGTTCCTAATCAAATGCTTGTATATCTATTTTGTTACTTAGATTTTTATTTTTTTATTTTTTTTTATAACTTGTACTAGCTAGCTTGAGGAGAGACGAAAATAAGGAGGTGGATGATTATGCTGAACTGAAGGAGAAAGTGGAAAATTTGGGTATATGCTGCAATTCTGTTACTCCTGAAGAATACACAAGATTAATGTGTCCCAAGGTATTTGACATTTTATTTGGTGTTTCTTTTGGTTTAATTAAGTTTTTCTTTTAATGAGTGTCAAGTGGTAGGTATCTGTTAATCATATGTAGCGATATCTACTAGTTGGAATTTGTACCTGCAAGCGCACACTAGTAAAGGAAATAATGAGAGTTGGGTAATTGCTCTCTTTTCATGGTCATGCATTTGTACTGCTAATTTGGTGAGGAAATGCAAGATGAAAAATAAGAAATAATGAAGTGAAATGCAGTTTTCAAGGTTGATATAGCTATGTGTAAAGTGTAAACTTTTTCGCTCTTTGTAACAGAGACCGGGGAAAACGAATATATAGCCTTCAATTATAACATAATTCTTTGAACTGTTTGTTTATATATATATATAAGAAGAAGAAGACGAGTAAACACATTTATGATGTGCTTCTTTGTTTTCCGATTATACAATGGAACCTTAAGTTTCTGCTAATTAACTCTTGTGACAAAAAAATAAGTTGGGGTTTGTCATGGACACTTGGATATGTTTGTTTTGTTTTGTTAAGCTAGATATGAGCCCCATTCATTTTCTTTTACTTCTCTCTATATCTTTGTATTTATTTGTCTCTTCTGAAACAGTGCAAAGGTGGTCGGTCAATGGGAAAGTGTTTATCATTTCATATGTCCTCGAAAAGGTACGATAGTTCTCATGTTCAATGATGATCTCCTTTTACAAGCAACTAGAGTTCTTCAAACTTGATTTTGTGGTCATCAAGGAATTCTGCATTATGGAGGTGTTTCAATATTGAATGTGGATGGGCAGGCCAGGTAGTTTAATTTATGGATTTAAAATTTGCTTACATTAATTTCTGAGAGATAGAAGTTAAATCACCTCATTGGATATTAATTATGAACACAGATCCCACACAACAGTACGGCATCTGATGGGGTCCATCAACTTGGCAGAATGAATTTTCCTCGGATACTTACAGAGGAAAGCTTGAAGTTAGAACCATTAGGTGATATGGTAAGGAAACTTTCTTTTGCCATGCATACACTAAGTCTGATGGCTAGCATTGTACAGTCTAATATTTAGCACTGGGCAACAGATTTTCAACAATGCATTCCCTAATCTCTAAGCTTGATTTAGAGGGTGTTTAGATTGACTTATTTTAAGTGCTTTTGGCTTTTAAGATTGTTTTATTTTTTAATTTTTGTGGTGTTTGGGAAAGATAAAAAGTGCTTTTAAGCACTTACTTTTAGGCCAAAAAAGTACAAATAATAAGCTAAAAGCTAAAAATTGGTTATTCTTAACTTATGGCTTTTAGCTTTTAGCTTATAAGCTACTTTTAAAAGGCTAATCCAAACACCATCTTAGAGCAAGATGCCCCTTTCTTTAATTTTTATGAAGTAAGTAAATAATATTAACAAAAGTACCGCCTTCTAAAAGGTACTACGCTCCTACATACACTATGAGGAATCAATTATATTGTTGTTTTTGCATTTTGCATATTACTCTACAAAGCTATGTTTTGCAAACATGTAAGTTGACACAATGGAGAGCATTGGTCTTCCCCTCAAAATTTAGGTTCGTTCCTTCTATACTGTCCAGGTTATGCATATTCGCGTAGTGCTTCCAAGGTGAATTCTTGATTCTCTCAAGCAGCTGATTGGGAATTTATAGCTCTTATGTTATGATTTGATAAATTCATTATTATGAGCATAATTACATTTAGGCCTAATTAGAACAATCAAATTTATAGGGATTTTAACAAAAAGAAACTGATTCTGTAGCAATAAAATGATACAAGACGCCCTTTTTTGTTTATTGCCTATGACTTTTGGGTGTATTACAGCTGACTGCATATTTTTCTAAGAGGATGATATCAAAGGATACTTTGAAGAGAAATCATGTCATGCAAATGGCTGGTGATCAGGTCAGACAATATTATGGTTTGGTAGAGTTTTTGATGGTTAATAAGAAGTAAAATTAAGTCAGTGCATCCAAATGCTCTGGGCACTCCTGATATCAATGGACAATGTTATTTCATTATTATTTGGTAGAGCTGTTGATTATTAGTAATTTTTTTTTGATCAGGTAAGATAACTTGATTATCAATAAGAAGTAAACTTAATTCTGTTCGTCAAATGGTTTTGATTACTAATAAGAAGTAAAATTAATTCTGCGCATCCAAATGTTCTTGGCATTCATATATCAATGCATATTTTAGATTTTCTTTAAGTTGCTTAACATGCGTAGGAGTAGGACAAAACTCAGTTATGTGTTAAGAATGAACTTCTGAAAAAATGCTCTGAAGTCATTAGCTTTACAACTTTGAGAATCTTCTGTTTCTCTTTTAGCACATTCTCTTTCCAACTAAGAGTTCAAGGTAAACACATTTATTTGTAGGAGAAGATTGACTCATTGACATGAGAACAGCAAGGCAACGGATTGATCATTGATCAAGCTTTGACTTAAAATATATAAGAGAAAGAATAAATTTCTAAATCTCAGGGCTGTTTAATGGCTAAAATTTGTGTCAAAGAACAAATGAACAAAAGAACTACGACAAGGTTCATAAGTCTCACTAACTTGGAAAGCAAGTAAGACTCAAGAAACATGAAGATCATGGTAGATAATCTGATCATTAAACCTCATTTTGAAACTGGAAAGTAATATTTTATGGCTGCATCATGGGTAGAGTCGTAGAGATATAAATTACATGCCAATATTTGGGTGATTGCAGATCATCATTGCCTTCACTTATAGGCGGAATGGTATGCTCATTGGCTGCAAGTATAGGACTCTTGAGAAAAGGTTTTGGCAGGTAAATTTGTTCATTAAGTTATAACCCTAACTGCCTGCATGGAGTAATGGGGAAGTACGTGAAAACACAATGTGCCATTACTGCTTAACTATATGCAATGCATGCTTCCATTTCTTAAGCTAAAGTTAGTCTTGCAAAAGTTTCTTGACGAGCAAATTCTTTAGCTTCAAATTCCTTTTAATAAAAAAGATATTGTGTCCTTGGGTGGAAATTAACAGTTTAGTATCTTACAACAAGAAGGGGATTGTTTGTCATGCTAATACATATGACACTTCACAATTATATTGTGGTAATATTCATCAAAATTTTAAAAATTGGTCCCTCCTTTTTAGGTTTTGGGTTTGGGACTCTTTTGAATAACTTTAGCCTATCCTCTGGACAAACGTTTCTGAACAGTTTTTTTTGTGATGTCAATTTAAGAGTTTTTTCAAGCTTCCAGTCAGTGTCTGCTGTTTTCAGTACCATTGATTTTTCTGAAGGAAAATTTGATATAGTCTGAACAGAGAAGCTAGTATTTTTCCTTATTTTCTTTGTGCCTTTATTAATCAACTTCTACTTTCAATTGCCAGGAGAAGGGTGCAGATAAGGTACTATATGGACTGGATGATGTAAGAGAAGCAGATGAGATCATCATTGTAAGTTCCAAAACTTTTTCTTTCTCAGATATGTATTTCTGGCTGCTGACTAGATGTGATACTCTATTGCTGACCAAAGGTAGAAGGTGAAATAGATAAGCTTTCAGTGGAAGAAGCTGGATTTCCTAACTGTGTCAGTGTTCCTAATGGTGCACCACAGGGCATCGCATCCAAAGAACTGCTACCACTGGAAGAGGTGTGTCATAAGTGTTTTGACATACTGTTACCATTGTGGTTTACCACTTGTTTTAAAATTATTTGATATATAGGATTATATTTCCAGCTTAATATTTCTTCTTGCACCTGAAGACAGGATACCAGATTTTCATACCTGTGGAACTGCAATGAGTGCTTGGAGAAGGTTGGTAGTCTTGATGCTTGCATTAAACTGAGAACACTAAGCAAAAGATATGTTCCTAATGTCATTGCTCATTCCCTTTCTATTTTTTAATTTATATGTTTTCAGGCGTCCCGGATTGTGCTGGCAACTGATGGTGATTTACCAGGCCAAGCATTGGCTGAAGAGCTTGCCCGCCGTCTGGGGAAAGAAAGGTTTGTTCCTTCTCACTCATATGTTTATTTTGTGTTCCTTTCTTCTATGTCCCAAAATGTTGTCTACTTAAGTGGATGATTTCTCCATGCACTTCCTTTCAAGTTGCTGAACATTGTACAATCCAAGAAGTGGAAACTGCAATAATCCTTTCTATTTCAAATCAATTGTAAATAAGTTTTCATATACTTTGGACTAACTTATCTCCATTTCTCCAATGCCTAGATGCATTTTTCATCGTCATACTTAGAGAAAGACTAACAAATTCTAATGGAGTTATGAGAAAGGTTGTAGTTTCTTGTTTGAACTTATCTTCTTAGAGTTCAAAATTCAACAAAGCTTTGCCCCCCCCGGTCGAAGTTCTTTTAGTGGTTTGCAATTGCATGCATCTTTCTGTCAATGCAGCTAAATTATGCAAGGCATGGCTGTTTGGTAATAACCATTGTCATCATTAAAGACTATGGTTACAAATTTTAGATGAGAACTAAATAAAAAGAAACACTTGCTTGATGTAGCCGCTAAGTTGCTCTTCAAATTAGTCAAATGACAAAACATAAGTCCATCATGAAAAATTTGGGTTCTTTTGACTTTTCATAACCCCAAACTTTTATCTTTTCTGTATTCACTTAATCTTGGCTCTAAGAGAGTTCCCAAGGGATATAGAGAGACTTATATATTGATGTAGCAAGTGGAATACTAAACAAGAAAGGGTATGTCACCTTTTGGGAGGTGGAGTCAAATTTGCATCGGGTAAGAATGCAGAATAATGTACATTCAAATGAATATACTGGATTGTTGTACCTTTTTATCACTAGTTAAGTGTATTTTGTGTTTTTGACAGTTGTGAGAAGACATGCCTTTTTTCTTTTTTTCTTTCTGTTCATGAGAATCACAGCCTTTCAGCATGCTCGGACCTAATATAATTCTGTGTCTGTACATTGGTATTTATCTTAGTTGTCTGCAATACGCAGATGCTTCTACTTGTAACTCTCATTTGTTCAATCCATCATGCAACCCAAAGCCTTATTACTTCACCAACGGGTCAGAGAGTAATTACAATTGGTTGACTTTGCTTGATTTGCAGGTGTTGGCAAGTATGTTGGCCTAAAAAGGATGAGTTAAGCAGTTATAAAGATGCGAATGAGGTGAAAATCTTTTTATTTTCTTTTTCCTTTTAGGATGTTGCCGTCATATTTCTTTCTCTCTGTTATAATGATACATTTCTTCTGAGCAATTTTCTTTCTTTCTTTTTTTCTTTACTTCTTTGTTTATAGAGGTGCTGCAGTAAATTTCAACTAGGGTCAAGAAGAATCAACTATACGAATTGAACGTTTAGCTTATAATTATGATCTGTGGGTCGTGAGAACTAGATTGTTTGAGATCACGGGATTGTAACTCATTTAATGTCAAACATTGGCCAATTTATCTCCCACCATTACTGTATCTGTACTTGTGACCAAAGAAGGGTTTTTCATAAAGCTAAAGCTCAGAATTGATAGCATGCATGGTCATCAACTCAGGGCATGATCAGACATTTAATTCTTTAGGCGATAGCTCAGGTATAGGTTCAATTCCCATTACCAGTGGGCAGTGGGCTAGTAATCTGGTTAGCCGTTTTTTGGTTTTAATCACGAAGTTATCTGGCAGCCTTCTGCTTAGTTGTGCGGACTCTTCACTTTTGATGCCGCACCCGTCTCGGATTCTCCAAAAATACACTACTTTTGGCGAATCCGACATGCACCCGTTGGCACTTTTGAAGAGTCCGAGCAACATAGGCCTTCTGAGTATTTGAGCATCAGAGTTAACTTTGACAACTAAAAGGAATTGAAAGGATATTGGAGGCACTGATCATGTACTAAGAACATGCTTGCAGATCTTACTCATCTGGTAGATATATCAATGTACAGATAGAGATTAATTTTTTTCTAAGAAGAATTTAAAAAAATTAAAATAAGCAGCAGGAAATGCAGTTGACATCCCCCTAAAACTATGTGGTCCTTTATTGTTCACTTTGTGGATGACCTGCATTTGTCCAAGTCCAGTGTTTAGTTTATAAGGGATTTCATGTGCACCTTGGATATTCAAGCAATGCTTCCCTTATTCAATCTGGTGCACATCAGGTAATTATGGCACTGTAATTAGAATGTTGGAGAAGTTCCCTGAAGTTTATCATTGTATTTGTTACTATTATTTTTATGGGGTTTGCTTCTTTGTCCTGAATTGGTCTCTAAGTTTAGATATTGTTAAGGAACATGCTGTCGAATTTCTGTTATGATGTTGGCAATCCACTGAAATCAAGACCTGTGCTATTCATTTGCTCATGCATCTGCTTCTATTGGGCAAATTAAATTTAAAGCCTTCTGTAAAATTGTTGTAGGTACTTGTAAACCTGGGAAGAGAAGCTCTGAAAGAAGCGATTGAATGTGCCGTGCCATATGAAATGCAGAATTTGAACTAATCCACAAAGTTTTTAGTCTTAAGAGGTATGTGTTACAGATTCCAAGTTCGACATTGTTGAATCTTTCCATTCTTTTTGCTCTTTACTTCTTTCTCCCTTTCTTGAAAAAATTCACGATAACAACCTACTAAAGTTTTTTGATACACAGATATCTTTCCAACAGTACTTGACCCTCTCCTCGAGACTTATGCATCTACTGCATCTGTAAGTAACATTACTCAAGATGAGAACGCGAAGCAATTTTTGTCAACACCTAGATTTCCCTTTTCAAAAGTTTCATATTCTCCTCTAGATCATCTTGGACTTGGATTTCTCAAATAATGTGCATAAATAGGTGACAGGTTGGTAGATGAAAGGTTTTCATTCTTTACTTGGAATGAAGGTTCTTGGGACATAACATATTCACCATACAAGGTACCTTGTTATAAAGACGCTTGGAGGAATGAAATGGAATTGGCTTGGCCACAGGTTTAGGAGATTGAATTTCTTATAATGTATATTTGATATTTTCATTTATTATTTGTTTTAAATAATGTTAGTGTATGTCTCTTAACTCCTAAAGAAATACTAATAGCTAGAGGTGTAACCCATAATGATCTCTTATGACTACTTACGAATTGAATAAAAGAAAATATCTTATCAGATGTCCTGTCTCAAAAAAATGAAATAAGTTGAATGCTTGAATAATCACTTAACTTATAGGAATCGGCTTTCAAAGTCGCTTATCTTTGTTTTGTTATCACTTTTTGAGAAAAAAAATAAGATCACTATCTGTTATAATACTGTAATAAGTAGCATAATTTGCCTCAATTATGTTTTAAGGAAATTTATAATGGTTTAATAAAAATTGAGATTAATTTAAATAAAGTTCTGATAAAGTTGAAACTTTGTCAGAATAGTAAAACAAGTCCATTTTTTTTAAGGCTAATCAGAAGATTTAAATTATATTTTAAATAGGGGAGAAAAAAACAGAAATGAAATAATGGTAATAATAATAATAAAAAATCAAGCTTTGACTATGGGCTATTTGTTTAAAGGAGGTGCCGTCGAGCACCACGTGAATATATGTTGTTCATCAATGTCAATTATGGAAAAAGACAAGAAAAGAGAGATTAATTAAGTAACCTTTAAACCAAATTAACAGATACAAACAACAAAACAGAGTCAAATATATGTTCTTTACTCAAATTGCCAACTCAATACAAATTTGTGAAACTATGATTGATGACCAACAGTTCAATATGTGATTGCTGTCTAATAGGGGATTAATAGGTAGCATGGGCTGTCCTCAGGAAATTAGAGCACATTGGACTATGTAATAGTCCAAAATAGAACAACAACATCTCAGAAAGATAGATTATATGCAAATCTTATATGTATTTCAAAAGTGGATAAATTGTTTTCAATAGATCCTCTGATTTTAAAAAAGAAGTAACATAAGTATAAGTTAAGAAACAACAAATAATAATAAAAACAGTCGACAACAACGGAACAAAAACTACAATGAAATAATACGATAATAGCAATACAAGAAAACGACAAGCATTGATAGAAATTGAAGATCAAGAAACTACAAGAGTAATACTACGATTACTAATATGAAATGGACAATATGACAACACACATAGCTACCAACTAAACTTTTACCTTAATCTAAGTCCTCTCAACTCACTTTTTACTTTTGAAATTATATTTATTTACATTTAACCATGAACATTTCAAATATCCTTTGCAAATTGTATAACCAAACACAAGTTTTATTCTCAACTCTATAAATTCCAAATAAAGTAAAAAAAATAAATACCCCATCCATTTCATTTACATGGCCTTTATACTATAATATATTTTTTTTTAACTTACCATTTTAGCAAATTAAGAATGTTTTATTACTACTTTTTTTCATATCGTAACCTTTAATATTAAATAACTACATAAAGTAATAATAAAAATTTCAAAATATCATCAATAAAAACTCATGTTAGGTTTCCGTCAAGTTAACGTGAATCAAGTAAAATAAAACGGAAGAAATTATGGAGGGAATTAAATAATGAAGGGTTCACGAATAAAATGTGTAGTATGTGGGACCTGAAAGAGAAATGATTAAAAAGACAAGGAAAGTTTGCTGTATTACAGACCTTTGGAAACGAATCCCCCAACGGCTCTAACATGCCATGCGTCCTGCGGTGCGGTGTCACACTAAACATTAAATTTGACCGTTTTGGGCCCCACACACATTTTTCGATCAAATATATTACCGTTATAAAAACCTCTCTTTCATTTCTCAATCTCAAACACAATTTGACACAGCAAAGCAACCTCATTCAAGTCCAAAAGGTGATTTTCTAATAACTATTCCTTTTTTGGTTATTTTTTTGAATGGGTTTTAATGTTGTGCTTCTAAAATGAAATTAAATTTGTGACATTTTCTTTATACGGTAGATGCTTTTGTTGATGAGTTTTATCAGACTCAACTTGTGGGATTACACGAGGTGTTGTTATTGTTTGTATAGGTTTTAGTTAATCGGAAACAATAAACAATAACTATACCTTCCTGCACAAAGCCAGGGTAAGGTTGTGAGGGTAAACATAACATTCCCAGATATGAGACCCGGTAGGATTACACCGAGTATGCTGTTGTTGTTTGTAGAGGTTTTAGTTGGGGAGATTGGCAAAGATTCAGCTACCTTGTCACTGAAAATCCATTATTTCAAGTATTTTTTTCACATTTTTCAACTACACCCTAATCTCAATTTAGATCCTATTGGATTGGCTTTGGCTTATTTTTATCATTCTAGCTTAAAATGTAATGCTTATAAGCTTTTTTTTTTTGAAACTAACCAAACACTTGAAATAAGCCAATCCAAAAAGGCTCTTAGTTTCACTTTATTGTTAATTTGAAATAAATCATATCTTTTGGCTATTTAGGGCACTGAATTAGGGACTCAAATTTTGTTGTACTTGATTTTTCAGGTGTTTAGGGAGGTGATTGCCAAGATTCATTACTTGTGTTATTTATCAATCAACATGACTGTTGAGATGCAATGTGAGGCAACTCAAGTGGCTGAAGTAGTTGTTCCACAAGAGGAATTAGTGGCTGCTAACAAGGTTGAGGTGAATGAGAAAGTAAAAAAAGATGAAGAAGAGGAATCCAAGCCTAATACAATTGAAAAGAGCTCTTCTTATAGAGAAGAGAGCAACTTCCTCTCTGATCTCAAAGAGAATGAGAAAAAGGCATTGAATGAGCTGAAATCTATAGTTGAGGAGGCCATTCTTGGAAACACTCTCTTCAAAAAAGAAGAGACCAACAAGTCTCCTGAGGAAGAGGGAAAGAATGAGGAAAATCGCGATACGGTAGAGGGGAAAGAAGAGGAGAAGGAGGGTGATTTGGATGTTGTTGAAGTGGATAGAGAGATTTCTATTTGGGGTGTACCCCTTTTGCCTAGCAAAGGGGATGAGAAAACCAATGTGGTTCTATTGAAATTCTTGAGAGCAAGGGATTACAAAGTGAATGAATCTTTCGAAATGCTCAAGAAAACACTCCAATGGAGGAAGGATTTTAACATCCAATCAATCTTGGAGGAAGATTTGGGCTCAGATCTTGCTCCAGCTGCTTACATGAGTGGGGTTGATAACCAAGGACACCCTATTTGTTACAACATTTTTGGGGTTTTGGATGATGAAGAGATTTATAACAAAACTTTTGGGACGGAGGAGAAACGGAACCAGTTCTTGAGGTGGAGAGTTCAGTTAATGGAGAAGGGCATTCAGCAGCTTGATTTCAAGGCTGGAGGTGTTAGTTCACTGCTTCAGATAAATGATCTGAAGAACTCCCCTGGACCGTCTAAGAAAGAAGTCCGGGTTGCTACCAAACAAGCCGTTGATCTTCTTCAAGATAACTATCCTGAATTCGTCGCCAAAAATGTGAGTGTTAATAGCATAGCTATGAAGTAATCTTATTTTTGGCTAGATAAATTGATCTGACCATTTCACCTGTTTGTTTTTCAGATATTCATCAATGTTCCATTTTGGTATTACGCCGTCCATTCTCTGCTGTCGCCTTTCCTAACGCAAAGAACCAAAAGCAAATTCGTATTTGTTCGCCCTGCTAAGGTCACTGAGACCTTGCTCAAGTAAGTTTCAAACATAAATCCAGTTTTAGTCCGTGAACTTTAATGTCTATTGGGGGCTAAATGTTTAACTATTTGGCTTGAGTTAGGTACATTCCAATCCATGAAATCCCTATTCAATATGGTGGACTCAAGAGGGAGAATGAGTTTGAGTTTTCAGTCTCCGACTGTGAAGCTTTGGAGATTCTCCTTAAAGCTGGATCAACTGAAACTATTGAAATACCTGCAGTAGATGTAAGTATTAAGTAACCTTGGATATATTGAGAGATTTGATTTTACGCAGAGATTTTGAATGTATGTGTTAAATTTATGTCAGGTGGAAAGTACATTTATCTGGGATGTTACGATTGTGGGCGGAGAAGTGAGCTATAAGGAGGAATTTGTGCCAGAGGATGAGACTTCTTACACTATAATCATTCAGAAGGACAAGAAGGTGAGCTCGACAATTCACAACACATTCAAGAACACTGAAGCAGGAAAGGTTGTGCTGACAATCAAGAACTCTTCTAGCAAGAAGAAGAAGGCGTTTTACCGACACAAGATCAATAAGTCAGCAATTTGAGATGAGCAAGTTTCTGTTTTGAGTGAAGATGGAGTTCTTTTTCTCTGTTTTTAAAAATATATATATAATGTAGTAGTAACCTTTTTGTGGTTCATATACTTTTTACTATTATTTTTGGTCCTACATTCATATTGTATATGTTGATTCATTCTTTTTTCTCTCCCTATAAAGGAAGAATATGATCTCTCTATTTTTTACCATCATATCATTTTATCCTTCTTAATTCTAGGTGTATTTATGCACACCATGGTGATCCGTCATCACACCTCAATTATTTTTATTAGGAGCTCCTTGTCCATACCTTGATATTTGACATATTTACATGACCCACCTCAACAATCAACATCATTTTAAAATGTTAAGTGCACTTCATCTTTCTTTTCTTTTGATGGAGGATTTATAAACTTGTCAAATTATTAGGTTGCACGGCACAATAACCGCATGCCAATGACCTTTCATTATTACTTTGATGACAAAAAATACTTTCAAGTTTTGAAAGATCATTTTATAAACCCATAATGGTCTTTCTTTTAATTATCACAATCAGGCCATGAACATTATCATGGGCCTCCATACATTCAACTACATCCTTTCTTTCTCGTCCACTCAGGGGGGTGCGGACACACCTGCGCCGCTGCGCGGATTACAGGTGACAGTTACAAGAATGGCGGGGAAGTTAACAGTACCCGACGATATTCAGGGATGGATGTAGACTCAACTACGTATCATCTTTTAGACATGTTATACACTGCTACCATATTCACATATGAGAATTGAACAAATCAATTGAAAGGATTTCACCACTTTTAATCAAAGTATATTCTTATATTACATCATCAAGAGATCATGCAACATCTTATTAGAATTCTAAATTATTATTCGTTGAGATCCAACCCAACATCTTATTATCATAATACATTAGAATTCTAACTTGATATCTATCTTCTAGATGCGA